GGTATTTAGTGACAGAAGATGAGATGTGGAGGGAGATTATGAGAAAAACCCAAAAGCTTGTCTATAATGGTTTGCCTTGACAACTCTACATTCACCTGTAAAATTGTTATTGTTACCTTAGATTCTTTTGGTTATTAAATTGGATATTTTAGTTAAGCCATCTTGAGTTGACATTTAATAATTCATTTAGAAGCTGTGCACAGAATATTATCCAGCTCAACAAATCCAAGATGAACAGAATTAGTTTTGTGCACTAAAAAGGTTTTGACAAGAGTTTCTCCTCCTCTTCATACTCCCTCCTCCTTCTCCTTTCCTCTCTTCTCCTCCCTTCTTCCCTCTGCTTCCCTTTTCCTGTTTTCCTCCTCTCTTCTCACAGTCAGAATCTGGTCATGGAAGCTGTCTGTCCTATACAGAAAAAGAGAAGTATAGTCATGGTTTTCTGGCTGTGGTCTTTAAGCTTATCTTAGTGCAGCCTTAAAACTGTATGGAAAGTAGATCGGCCAGAAATCTGTGTTTCTTGTGGTGCAATTGATGGTCTCGGAGTTACATAGCCTCTGATTAGATATCTTTCATACACTTTTCCCTTAGAAAGGATTTTGCTTTTGTAGAGTCTGTTCCAATAAAAATCTTCCATGAAACCAAAAATCAAGATACTGCAATGATGGAAAGGCTGTTTATGGAAAGGAAGCCTGTTTAACCACAAGCTTTGAGATTCCCTAACACGTGCCCATCTGCCCCAGTGGGTAGGACCATCAGACTCACATCCTCCTTTGGCTATGATGCAGGGAATGCCATGCCTCACAGTCCAATCTTGTATGTTTGCGAATCTTCAAGGGTGAAGAGGAGAGGAACAGAGCATTCACAGCTACAATGAAGCTACAAGCAGCAGTAGGCAAAACTGTATGGTACAGCATATGCACAGTTCATGCCTTCCCTTCACACCTCGGAATACAACAGGACTCCCCGTCAAGCTCAAGCTGTCGCCATTCCCATGGGAATGCAGCTCTCTGAAGAATACTTCTTCTACCTGATGGTCTACCTTCCAGGACACTGCTCCTGGGAAACAGCACCAGGCCAGCCTGAGAAGGCCTGTCTTCCTTCGGGTGTGTTGGAAAAGGTCCTTTAAAAACTGGGAGGAAGAAAGGATTCACCTCAACACTACCCACCTCTAGCTGGACTCAGGTGATTCAGGATTGAGGGGGCTATACAATCAGAGTCAAAAATCCAAGTAGACACCTGGCCATGCTGGTTCGTTTCCTTCTGTCACAGTACAGTGGGAGGTGAAGAAGTCTGGCTTCATTGTGCTATGATGTGTGATGTATCTGCTGCCTTCAGGGCATGCCAAAGGTAGCCAAGTGATCCCAGGCCCTGACTTTTGTGACTTAGTGATAAAAAGATGTTGCTGTGGCCCAGCCATAGAATCTTAGCCTTGTTCACTTTTATTTCTCCAAAATCACTTATGTGGGTATGACAGTATCTGCCAGTGAATAGTGAGGCATTATGATGACTTGGTTAAAACAAACAAACAAACAAACACTTTCAGTCATTAATTCAAACAAACTCTTACTGAGCATTTGCATTATTCCAGTGATG